AGTGAAGCAAAAAAAAAAAAAATTAATTTTAAAGTCCGCATCCTTGAAAGGAATACCGTATGTGGGTAGGATAAAACAAGCAGCTCATTTAATTTTAGCTTACAATGTCGGCTAAAAGCTGATAGAGTTATACGCTCAAGTTGACAGGGCCCCGAACTCAACACGAGCCGTAAGCTGAAGGCCACAAAGTCGGTGAGGTTTCACGACATCTTTTATAGGGTTGTGTAACCTATAATATACTTTCCACGAACCTTCATTCAAGGAATTCTGGAACTACGATGCTCCGAGAACTATTTCCCTCCGCATGCACGTTCGAGACTGATGTGAAAATTATGAATTATAAAGAAGAAAACAAGTTATTGTGAAACAAACCAAATTTTTATTCCAAGCAGGCAAGATGAATTTTATGATTGCGGCAGGTTTTTCGCACTTATTTTCGGAACGACCGAAGTGCCCGTAGAGGTAAATGTTTTACGAGGTCGTTGGCTCATGGATCTTTTTTTTTTTAGGTCTTTGGCGTTATGGAGGTTTATTTTGTCGCGGCGATTGACTTCAATAAGGTGTGCGACAACGTGGTTTGAAGGGCTCATAGCTCGAAGGCGCTATGCTTGTCTTTTATTTCTCAGGATAAATTAGTTCGCTTTTGAGACTTATCTCTAATGTCCCTGAAAGAATGCGGTCCCCACGAAGGCAAATGTTACACAATGTTATTTATGTATTCAGGTTTTAAGCTCTACTTTGATCAATTTAACTTTTAGCTGTGCGAATATTTTTATATTTTATTCTTAAATATAATTCATGGGGAATTTTTTCGCTACCTCAGTATTGGTCAACTGAATATATAAATGTAAACTAATAACAATAAATCTACTTTTATGCAGATTTTACTCTAAAGGGACCATGAAGGCAATTAAATTTTTTTTTTAAAGGTGTTTTCGGAAGCACTGGGGTCCTGGCATGCCACACAATTTTTTCTAGAACGTTGTGACTGTTATTTCTGTACCTGCAAATAAATTTGCGAAACCGAAACAAACATTCAGATTTCTTCCCTTTTTTGCCTCTGGAAAGGGAAGTGACGTCAGGGAGCACTGTCGGCATCGGTAGGATTCAGTGCACACTCAGTGTAGTTCCCGTGGTTCGGTCTAGCGCACGGCGGTCTGTGAAGAAAGCCTGGAAGAAATGGACGACAACGCCGCGCTCGCAAACGAGTTTGACCTCTCGTTCAGCGACCTCACGCCGACTGAGCGGGAGATGCTGCTAAGGACGCAGAACTCTGGATTGGCGACCGATGCAGCAATGCTGCGCATTGCTGCATCGGTCGGCAGTTTATGCAAACTAACGTCGCCCGATCAACCGCACGTCTTTAGTCGACCTTTCGCGCAACCTACTACTGCACATAAACGCGGCATGATTGGTGAGACACCAGTTCGCGAAGCGAACACGAGACGACGCACGAAACCAAAACCAAAAGTCCGCCGCCCCCGGCGCTCGTACCTCTTTTTCTTTTTTTTTGTCCATGGTTGCTCGATGCTTGTTACGCGCCCGAGGTAGCAGTGCGGGATGCGTTCAACCATTGACAAACGGAGGGATCGCATCAGATTATGCTTTTATACACTGTATGAAACCTATTAATTCCCAACTACAACTTTAAAATATTATCCAACGTTCAAATAAAAATTTTTCATCACATCTCACCACCGAAATCGAAACCAAGAGCGCGTCTATCGTTTGAACCAATCGCCAGACGAGGAGCCCGTTGTCGTCACGCTTCGACGCACTTTAGTTCACCATTTTGCCGCCGCCTCGGTGGGGTCTCAGGCATCGTTCCCGGCGCTCTTATTACCGCGCCTGTTTGCTCGATTGGTGCGGCACCCAAACCTCTGTTCGGGCTAGAACTTGGTCAAGAGTATCTGAGACGTGCCTGACATCCATTTCAATCGTCGAATAAAACTTCGAAACTGCCTTCATGGTCTCTTTAAAAAAAATAGTTCAAGGAAAGGCCCACAATGTACATAATTATTATCAAAATAATCCTTATTCAAGGAACAAATTAATTAATCTACCGATATTTTGTTCTAGAGACAGCTGATCTGCTTTAGTCAAACCAGCTTCGACACTATCATGAATATATAGACTGTTACTAACAATTATGGTGTACTAATAATTCAAAAATTAACAAAAGTTATCGCCCATCCTACATATCGAGGATACATATCTTCGCATGTACGGTAGTCCTTAAATGAACTAACGTAGAAAATCAACACGACGTCTAAAAGCTCATAAGATCAGACTCTGAAACAGAGTACAATCACCTTTTTTTAAACTCTAAAGGTTATATTTAAAATGGAGTGGTTCATGAGAAGGTTTGCTTTGGTGGCATAAAGGTTAAAACAGCTTACATGAACTTCAGTTCTTATTCTGTAGTTAGTTACCGGTAACTCCTAACTCCTATCAATTGAAAAGGTAGGTGGACGTTATGTTATAGACCAGGAAAGGCTCACTTGAGTGAATACAAAAGCCGGGAATTTATTTCTGTTTATAGCATGATGTCTTCATTTGATGATAAATCTGCTAAAACGGGATCCCTTTTTATTACGATAAGCGTTTAATAACGCCACAACACTTTCAAAGAAAAAATTACATTATATTTATGTTTTGCCTGAGGTGTACAAGTAGCTTGCTTCTAATGTTTCAGCAAAAATAGTCTGTTTCATGTCGTCCAAACATCTATAATGTCCGGGGAACAAGGCCTCTAGGTCCAAATATAATAAACACTATGTGCAACAAACAGCAAGTCCATGGCAGAGGCAATCAACCCCCCCCCCCCCCCCCCCCACACACACACACACACATTGTATTTACAACGCTCTCCGTTGACGGGAAAGGAAATACGTGTCCCCCTGAGAACCATTTGCAACGGGGGGCAAACACCGTCAACTGGTTTTTCGTGTTAGACGTCACGCTGCGCCATCTTGTGGAAAGTCATGTAAACGGGTTAGCCCAAATGGCTTTTCCCGCCGGAAATCAAAAAGGCACGCAGAAAAGAAAGACGTGACTTTACCTTCATGATGGGCATGGCGTGCTCTTGCTGAGTGCATGCTATTTTTGTCGTCTTTACGACGATGAAAGGTTAGCTGTTTCCACGCACGGAGCCAACATGGTGACGCCACAATTTTAGGAAGACATCGATCGAATAGAGAGAGAAGTGTTCGAGGCGTTTCACATTGTCACTCTGGGAGACTAGAGCGTAAAAAAAAAAAAAAAAAAAAAAAAAAAAAAACACGTCAATAGCGTTAAAAATATAATTGTTTTGTGCGCGAGAGTGAGATGTTTACCTGGTGATGCTACGGCTATGGAAAGGGCAAGGGGTTTGACAAATGTTTGACCGATAGTGCCTCTCTGGCTTCTCTTTGTCGCCCTTCCTGTTTCAAGTAATAAAAACTTCAGTGGCGAGTCAGCGTTTGTCCCGTTTGCGTGTTTCGTCTGCTCCGCCCGTGTCTTTTTTTATTATATTTTTGCGCTGTTTTGACATTTTAATTAACGTAGTGGGTGCCACAAAAATAAGTTAATCGTGCAAATTTAAAGAAGTATATTAATCAAATGCAAAATGTTCAGAATTTCTGGATAAAAGAGAACACATTTGAGAGTTTTAGGGAACCCTTTTTGCACATCCGATAGGGTACGATGGGCCTTTCGGTACGAACTGCGCATGCGCTATACCGCAGAAGACTTGTACATGCGCATTTCGAACCGGAGGGCTCGTCACACCGTATCAGATGTGCAAAAATGGTTTCCTAAACCTCTCTATTCGATCGATGTCTCCGAAGAATATATGGTCTGCGGCATGTCTACGAAAATGTGAAATCAGTTCATAAACTAGGACCGCTGACAACTTAAGAAACTCAAGGCGGGGCTTATTATGTTAATTCACCCTTCTTGGTTCGTGATTGGTTGTTCGGCGACATTATCAGAAAATGCCGCATTCTCATTGGCTGCGGAGGGAGAATGGGTAGCTCGGGACTCTCCGCACTTTGCGTTTCTTAAGCTATACGGAGAGCAAGTCGTCTGCTTCTTGCGCAGGAGTTGCGGTGACGTCAGAAAGACTCAGAGCTCTGATTGGCTCTCACTGAAAAATAGTGGGCACACCTCAAAGCAAGCTGTCTTGAGATCTACCCGCTACACTTCATTCAGAACCAATCGGAGCTCGGCGTCCTGACGTCACCACAAACCTGGCAAAAGAAGCAGACGAACTTGCGCTTCGTATATCAGCGACCAAACACTAGAACTCACAGATAAGCGAAAACAAAGCACGTCCATGCATTTTTTATTTGTTTAGAAGACACTGGAGGCCAGGAATGAGGTCCAAGCAGGAGAGCGTAAGCAAAACAAGCCAACACTCAATGAAAGCTTAACAGCCATGGAAACCAGAAACTGGACCTCAAAATGTACGCAAGAGCTTACAGTGTATAAAATACATCGTAACGCAAAGTGGAAAAAAAATAAATAAAAAATAAAAAAACCGCTCGTGAATTTATTTTTTATTGATTGGCAATATTTTGTAGGCTTGTAACGAAATCCGAGCATGATGGTATAAAACAATCCAACGTACAAGAAACATCTCTAACAGCCATGGAAACCGGTATTACATTTGGTAACATCTGGCAATTGTTTTAAGAAACAACGTTCATGGTGTTTTGGGCAAAATTTGAAGTTGATCCGATTAAAAGCGGTTCAGGATGGCTTACACAGAAGCATCGGCATAAAAGAAACATGTAAATAAAACAAAACAAAGCGCCTTCCAGAAAACAACATGGAGAATGTCTACTTTTAGCCACCACCAGTTGCGCCGTGGAAGCCTCGTTAAAGGTCAGTCTGGAGCGGAGGATTCGCCGCGAGCTTCGGACGAACGTACCTCTTACCCGTCTGATCCACGCCGCATCGCCTGGCAACCTAACGACGTTGTTCTCCGCCCGCTCGCCCGCATTCGCCTTTATCGATTGGCCCCGGAACTCCGACGCGCGCGCTGCACCCTGGTAAGGGTTTCTGTCCGCCATTCCTGTTTTTTCAACGCCTATTTGCCGAAGGGTTCGCCGTTCTGATTCCTTCATCATAAGAAGGGTTCCGAAGAACATCTTTGTCACCGTTTGCTTTTTGCCACCTGGGTAAGCTTGGTGTTTCCTTCTGTTGCTTTGGTGTTGTCGCTGGCTGAGCATTCCTGCCCACGGTTGGGTGCTGTGTACGGGTGTCGATGTAGGTCCCGGAGGATGCAGGTTTGGAGGTGACGTATGTTAGGGTTCGTCAGGCGCTGAGAGGGCAGTGAACGTGGGCATGAAGGTTAAACATACCGAATATTTGGTCTGGTTTTAAACTTGCAGGAGACCCTGATTCAACGCGGCTTCTAAATGTCGAAAATGTCATTTAAAACGAAGCTTTAGTTATTTCAGCAAAATATAACGTATGTTTCGGGCATGTAAGAAAGAAATAAGACATCTGAGATCCCTATTTGTGACGTTATAACGGCTCGTTGCATTTCTATTTAAGACATTTTTGTTTTGTATGCAGTTTCCTAAGACTGAAAGTTTTCGAAATATTGGTGGTGTCGACGGCCGTACTTCGCATGATACACGCCTGTATGGGAGGACCTGTCTTGATTGTACATGCGTGATGTTTTTCTGTAGGGTCAGTGCTAACGAATTGTTTAAACATTTATACAATGCGTAATAAATATGTCTTTGATTGTAGACATGCAATATCTTCTTGTGGGTAGGTTACCTTGGACTTTGAGACTATCCTAGATGGAAACCCTGCATGCGCCCTGTTCTACATGAATAATCTAATAACTAGTGCAATTATAACATTATTTTTTATGTGCAATAAAAAAAGGCGTAATAAAAATGATAAAGTTTTGTTGTTTGGATTTTATAATAAGTTGTTTCGTCTTATCTTAATGCTGACGGAGAGCGAGTGAGATGTGTACGAGGCAGTAGACAATAACGTAAACGATTACCAACGAATCAACTGTTGTTATACCAGTTATGGCAAGCATACTTAGCTTCAAGTACCAACATAAATTGAGTAAAAAATCTTGGTTCGGTGAAAGCAGATGCTGTATATAGGTTTTCATGTGCACCAAATCTTCAAATGCTTCAGAATTTCCCAGGGAAACGGCAACCATGGCACATATCAAAGCCACCCTCGGACTGCTGCTAGTCTACGCCGCGACCAAAAGCTTCGCCATGGGCCCGCCATCGTACGACAGAGGCATCGAGGGGCTCACAGATGGCTTCCTAAAGCAAGTAATGTCGAGGATTCACGGAAGTGGTTTGGACCTGTCCGATGGATCTCTGGAGTTCATGGACCGCAACACCGTGGAGCCCCCTCCAGACGTTTACCCTAGGGACCCCAGCTACAGCAGACATCAAGGACGCTACCGCAAGGAAGGACAACAGCAGGACATCCTTGGAGGACCGTCCCTCAGGGATCAAGAGTATCTTCAGCACAGTTCACTTTGGGGACATCAGTATGTTGCTGGTGAGTGGACAGCTAGGGAGCCCTTGATTAAATCAGACTTGCAGACGTACAACACTAAACTCTAAAGCTATCTGTGCATCTGTTTTCTGCACATAAATCAGAGTGATCTACAGGGTCGACCACTGCGATCTACAGAGCTGCCCGATGAATGACTATGTGAAAAAACAAATTGATTTCTTACATAATTTGAGCAAGCGGCACGTCAATCTCAGTCTTCTTGCGGGAATGCTGCTCTGTGCTTCCATGTCTTTTCACATCTCGGCATTAGTTGGATGATCCTGTAGGTTGAAGTAATTAGGCTGTTAAAATGTTGTTATTACAATTGATTTTATCCAGACATCCGGCTTTAATGTTGTCCCGTTGGACAAGGAGGTGGTTGGTGAGCACCTGAACTGCCGCTACTACATCGTATACACCAGTGGACCTTTCTTTTGCTAAATATTCTACATGAATTTTAAGTTTGATCTGACCATGAGTTTTTACTTAATACCAAAGATCTTCTATATAATAAATAAAAAGGGTCACCTATGCTTTTAGTCAACACCCATTGAAGCACAGAAATAGAGTGATGGTGGCACCATCGAAACCATGAAGATTCTGGGCCTTAAAGTAGCCAAATAGATGCCAGTTTGTCTCCCCGTTGTGTGGACAATTTTAGATTTTGTTCTACTTCATAAACCTAAAACGTTAGGCTTGAATTTAATATGGCGCCTGAAAATGCATAGTTCAAAATACTTTTTTGACACGAGTTTACTTCGAAATAAAATAAAAAAAAACAAGTTTCACTACCACGTGAGTGAGCGTTAGTTCGTCTTGTACGCGTTAGTGAAAAAAGTAACCGATTGCATTACAATCGCCCTATTACAAAGTAACCAATTGCAGTCATCAATTACTGCATCACAAAAGTAGTTATAAAGTATCAGAAAGTAATTTATTACATTTTACGTTAATTTTTTACGTTACTTTTTTATTTTTACGTTACTTTTTATTACAAAATCAAAAACGCATGCACATGTTCAAAGTGATTGCGTTTTGTTTCTTTTTGTCATTCAAGCATTCTTAGAAAGGTTTTGTAAGTAGCAATAGAGTGCAGGCGAGCTGTTAAATAGTCAACATCTTGCAGACCTTAATATTTATTTATTGTTCCCCATCTCAAGGACTACAAGATGTTGATGTTAAAGGAGTGCTCCGTCGTTTTTTTTATAGTGCCAAATTTGCTGAACACAGCAACAGACATGGCTCAAACAGTCCCCCAAATATTGGGCCAAAATAAATTTTTTTTCGCGAAAATATTGAATTTACAATTTTGGTCATCAGCGTGTTTTTTTTTTTTTAAGTCAAAGTCTCTATTGGCAACAGTGAAAAAGTGACATTACAATAACTTCAGTAATATACAGACTAGCTATGCGAATTCTAAGAAGAAGAATGGAAGAATGGGCAGCAAGAAATCAGATTCTGGGGGAGCTTCAGAACGGCTTCAGGAGGGATAGACGACTATATGATAACTTATTCGTAATCACACAGTGCATAGAGATAGCAATGACAAGTCAAAGGCAATTATGGATATCATTTTTAGACATCAAAGGGGCATATGATAATGTAAATCAGGAAAAACTCTGGAACCAAAAGAAGAAGCATGCGCTAGCGGGAAACATAGTTAAGTTTCTAGAACGGGTTTATACGGAAAATAGAGTTATTATAACATGGGAAGCCGAAACTGCAAGACCAGCAGCAATAAAAAGAGGACTTAGACAGGGTTGCCCATTGTCTCCCCTGCTCTTTATGATATACCTCAGTGAGATGGAAAAAAGATTAGAGCAGCGCAATCTAGCTTTTGACCTCACTTACATGAAGGAAGGACATAACGTAAATCAAGCATTGCCAGGGTTACTGTATGCGGACGACATTGTACTCGTATCAGAAAGTCGTGGGACAAAACAGGAACTGATTAGGCTTTGCGGCAGAGATGGGGACAGTTTAGAACTAAAAATCAGTAGGGACAAGTCGGGTTTAATAGTTTTCAATGACGAGAAGGGGGAACCCCTGGAGATACAGGAAGCACCGATAGAACACGTAGAAAAGTACAAATATCTTGGAGTATGGTTTAGTAAGGGAAGAAAGTATCTAAAGACCATGCAGATATTGTTAACAAGAAGGGGAAACGAGATTCAGCTATTATAAAACACAGGTCACTATGTAACTATAATATATATGAAGTCGATAGGGGTGTATGAAAGGGAGTCGTGGTGCCAGGACTGTCATTTGGGAATGCGGTATTGCGTATGAGGTCAGAAATCCGGGCAGGTTTAGGGATACAGCAAAGGAGTGTGGGTAGGTTGGCATTGGGGGCACATGGGAATACACCAAATGATGGAGTACAGGGGGATATGGGTTGGGCATCCTTCCAGAGTAGAGAAAGGATCAGTAAAGTAATATTTGGAAAAAAGTCTAGCTGAAATTGAGGATACACGCGTGGGCAGCGAAAGTGTACAAGTATTTATATATGAAAAGTCTAAACACTAAGTGGACAAACCGAAACCCGGAAGCTGAGATCTAAATATGTTCAACGAGATGAGGCCGATCAGAGTATATCAATAAAAAAGGGAGTAAAGGAAACAAAGAGGAAATTGCGGGAAGTGAGAATGCAGGGGAAATCAGCTTTAACAATATACTGGGCACTAGAACAAGAAATAAAGAAGGAACAATTGTATGATCATTCATTGGGGAGCTCATTACTGTTTGAAGCTAGAACGGGGGTGTTAAGGACGAAAATTTAGAGGGCTAAATTCGAGGAAATTGACGCTCTATGCAACATATGCCACCGCGAAAGGGAAACAATAGAACATGTAATTTTAAGGTACACGGGGCTTCGTCCCACCCTCTTAGGGGGATGACTACAGATTTCGAGGGGGCACTGGGATTTGCAGACATGGATGGAGGAATGGATAGGGAAAGAATTACGGTAACTAAGAAAAGACTGGAAGATTGGTGGAAAAAAATCTAGGTAGGGGTAAAAATACAAATAAAAATAAGCAATAGAAACACTTTAAAAAGGGGAGGGTGTTGTGTTAGAACAAAATTTGTACAAATTTAAACAAAAAGAAGGAATAACGAAATGCTAGGCTAGGTGGCGCAAACTGCCACCTGTTAATAAGGGTATAGCCATTTCCATACATCCATCCATTCTCTCTGGAAGGCAGGGTTTCACTCTTTTGACTGTAGGTTTTTCTCCCAACTGATTGCAAGCAGTTTCATAGTGCCAAATGAATGCTTTGTTAGGTCGCTCCTGCACACGCGCAGCAGCACGAAACAAATGCTCGGCCTAGTAAATTTTAAGACTGCCCGCTGGACCTGCAAGCCCGCTTTCACTTGACGTCACCGCGCTAAAAAGCGCGGGTGTATTTGATTGTGGCCAATAACAACATTTTCACCTGCCGATTTCACAACAGCATATCTGAATTTCGCGATACTAAATAGCACACCGGATAGGGTAAACGCCGGTGATCCCCAAAATATAGTTAGGTGGAATATTGCGATGCTTTGCTGCGCTGCGTGGATGCAAGAAAAACGTACTTGATAAACTTAAAACTAAAACAGAGGATAGAAGAAAGACAAAATAAATGAAGGGCGCAGCACAGCAGTTTGCGCGCTGCGTCGTTCAGGTAATTTACATACAAGAAGGGCGCATATCCTCTTTTCGCTCTAATATCCTTTGTTATAGTTTTAATTTTATCAGATGCCTTTTTCTTGCATCTACGCAGCGCAGCAAACCATCACAATGTCCAACCAACTAGCCCACATCCAAGCATTATTAGTAGTTGGGTAGCTAAAAAGTTCGCCGGAGTACCCTTTTAAGCTTTAGCAGCAGTTGTCGTTCGATGTTCTCACCAAGAGAGAGCACGTGACTTTCTTCGCGGGAGCATTACAACCAAAATAAGCTATCGTCACCTCCTTATAATTATAGAAAGAAAGAAAGAAAGAAAGAAAGAAAGAAAGAGAGATAAGAATGAATAAACCATCACATGCCGGACTAGTGAAAATCCCTATCCAGTAACCAAAAAATCGTAGATGAGATAACATTATGTTCAAAGAACGCTCTATAAAAACACACGCTGGTGAACTCTTTCGAGATTGAATTGAGGGGGGGGGGGGGGGGGGGGGGGCCTTGTCGTGGCTATATGAGGTCAGTGCAAAACACAGTCGCCATGCCGCTGCAAACCAGGATCGTAACAACCAGTACACACGAAACAAGGCACTCTTCTTTAGCGGCCTAGGGGTAAAGAAAAGTGTCCAACGTTGGTGCAGCATAAACAATTGACCCAGGGGCAGAAAGAGCGATTTTTTTACTTAGAAAAACTGAACTCAATAGTTTTAGCCCTTTCAGAAATATTTAATTCATTAGAGCAAAAAGTTATTGAATTACAACGAGTGTTTCCGCAGAAATGAAGTAATTGCAGCGTTAAAACGTTAACATAACATGTAATTGACTACGAATAATCACTTATTTATAATTCGTTATGTACAAGTCTGGCTCGTTCTAAATGCGGGATGGGATTTCAAATTACAGTGTAGCTTTGTTGTGTCATATTTTAAGAATCGCAGCAATAACACGTTTTCTAAGCTTACAAAGCAGTGATTAATTGTACCTTCTTTAGTTTCATATAATACGTACCGAATTTGTCGAATTATCCATCAGGTAAAGGCAAGGCACACACTTTTTAAAAAACAAGTAATAAGAATTAGAGACACACACACACACACGCACCAATATGATGAACCTGCCACAATACCCAATCACACAGGTTCGCGTGCACTTCACAGTTTCGTTTCAGTTAAAACTACGCTAGTGTATTGATATATTATGAAATACAGTCACACTCTTCTTGGTGATTCAAATCACTCCCCGTAAAGAAATTCGGTACAAATATACTTGGATACTTCAGATGCCTGAAATTCATGCTAGTAACGTAAACACTGGAATCCCTTTTTGCTGGGTCATGAGTAACAGGGCGTCCCTCTTTACCACAAGTTTCTCAGTACTCATTAGTCAAGCAGCTAGGCCACTAAAGCATCAAACCTATGCACGCAGGTGGTGCGGGCGAAGGCTACCAGCGCCTAAAGCCCGACGGCAGTGGCAAGAATATTCAAGTCGTCAAGACCGACGCAGTTCTCCCAGCTTACTGCAACCCACCTAACCCTTGCCCCAAGGGATACACAGGTAAGACGTCACAACGGTAGGTTCAGCTCTTGCAAAATATACCACACTCCATGAGAGCAATAGTGTTGATCTTAGATCTGTTGGAACAACAACTGGTAAAACGCACTGTGATCAGCTTTTATATTGTTTTTAAATGGTATTTTTTGTTTAATGTTTAAATATCGATAGACTCAGAAACATAGCCCCCGAACTGATTTCGACAAAATAAAAAAAAAGGATATGAAAAATTTTCTTTTTATAAAAATTGAAAAAAAAAATGTTTGCGTAAAATACTTGTTTTATCCACGCAGCCTTTGTTCACAGACTTGCGTGGGGTGACGTGACCCCTATTTATGGGCATCGTTTGCGACCGGCGAGGAGGTGCCTAAAGCATTTAACGTAGAAGTTTGGGCTAGTTGGTAAGTGGGCATGATAAAAACAAAACAGCGCAAAGACAAGCACGAAGTAGAAGAAACCACAGGACACAGCGCTGACTTTCAACTGAAGATTTATTCGTGTAGGCGTCTGTAATAAATAGCAAACATGCCACCCCAAAAATATCAAGGAAAAAATACAAAAGATATATAATATGTCACGTTTTCTATACAACACTGTCACTGCTTTGCCCTCATCGTTCACGTGATATTGCGCGTTTGGATCCTGATAGTGTTAGTGCCCCGTCACTCGTACTTTCGGATAAGGAGCGGCAGTGTTAATTACTCCATTTTTTACTCATATCTAAGCGTTCAGCTTAAATAAATTGCCGAAATTCTTCTCCCGTATATCTAAAACCGTATGTTATTTTTTAAACCTTCTTGGAACCTACCATTTGAATACCTGCATCCTAAGGAATATTTGATACGCAGTATACGTGTCATTATATCGTTTTCGAGCATGCAATCCGCTTACCACATTATGGAGCCGCCCTTGCTGCGCATGCCTGCTCCTCCTATTTTAAATACAGAGCGGAACACTATAAGCGGTTTTCACGAGCTCTGATAAGATACGACAGTGACAGGGCCGGTAGTGTCATTTACCAGTGTACTGTATATTAAAAAACGACCAAACAAAATGTAGAAATATTTCACTCACTCTCTGCGCTTGGCTTCTATTTCCTGAAAATGCGAAAATATTGTTCGTATCTTCGTCATTTATATAGGTTTATCGAGGAACATATGGCCTTTGCTTAGAATATTTTAAAAAGTCGGTCACACAAAAGAAGAACCCTTTGAGGTAAAAAAGATCTAACATCTCACAAGCAAGTTTTATATATCTGAATCGGAACCTGGATCGCGTCAAAACGTTCAACGAGTCGGGACATTCGTCCGTATCAGAAAATTCAACGCGTCAAAACGTCTAACGAGTCAAAACATCCACGAATGAATGTTTTTTACTCGATGGATGTTTTGGTGCGTTGGATGTTCTGACTCGGAATCCCCATCGCTCAGACCACCCTTCAAGATCGCCATGCGATTCACAACTAGTTAAAGGCTGCGCGCTCTAGATCCTGGAGGCTCTGAAAGAAAACCCAACCGGATCCTCCATGTTCCCATTGCACGTCACAGCACACGTGAATCGAAGGACGGTGTAAGCGTTGAGAGTGGTTTCGAGGCGCCCAAAACAACAATCGTTTTACTTTCTTTTTTTTTTTTTCTAAACAATTAACGCGTGTAGGCAAGATTTGTTTTCAGTTCTTTAATCCAGTCGTTACAGGGGACAACTACCAAAATTATTTGACCGAATTCCAACCATTGTTGCACGGTCCCTTTTAGCTTTATTCTGTGTTGACCAGGAACGCAGCTCTTACTGAGCTGTCTGCGAGGCTTATCTTTCTTCAAGAACACCTCTTACCTCGTTTTCTTCTCTTATCAATACCGGTAAGTTTTCCTAGTATTCGGGTCACGCGCATGTCCCTCGGATGGGGGCAGGGGATTTCTCGGCAGATGATTACCATTTTTTTTTTTGTCTGACACCGAGGAGCGGCGGAGAAAAGCTCACCGCAAAACCGGCAAATGCAGAGAAAAGCTCACCGATTTTTTTTGCATTTTTTCTTAGCTTACAAACTGTGCGTCAGACGTGGAAATTTAACGGAATTAAAATTCGTCACTTAAAAAAAACTTCTCTTTTTTGTAATATTTTTCAAGTTCATTGGGCATATTTACTAATTTTTCAGAAATTAGTAATCACCCATTTTGTATATTAATGGTGCCGGAAGTATAAAATCAGAACGTGGGACACCCGTAAAAAAGACAAGTTATTGACAACTTGTTGTTGAAAGCTTTGTTTAATGATCGATGGAATAGAAAAAGGGGGCGCGATATGAAATAAAAGTTCTAAAGAATATAGGTGGGTGGCCTTAGTCCGGGGCTCTAACTGCAGTGAGGGCTTCGACTGCTCTTCCTACAAGCATGGGTTGCTTGTCGGCAACGTCGCTTCGCAGTCCTGCTTCCCACTCCTCTTTCGAAGGTTCTTCAATTGGTGTAAGGCCGGGTATGACAGTGTGCCATCGGTAGTTCTGTCAGATAAAAAGGTTTTTTTTTTTGCTAGCTAATATGAATAGCGGTGTGTGAACCGTTTAAACTCCGGAGATTGTGTGGTTCCTGATAGATAGGTAGATGTTTGTTCATGTAATCTGTGTCGGCTACGTTGTGTTCTTTCTGTTGTTTTACTAATAAAACTTTAGTTTGCGAGAACAGATTTGTCTTGGCGTATTTGTTGTCGTCACTCCGCTTTCGTCGTTTCATCGATTCGCCCAATTCACTACCTTACAGAAGTCTAGTTCTTATATAGGTCACGAGTAACAACGGTGACAGTGTACAGCTCTGAAGGTCATGGGTGGCTCGCCGTAGAAGGGCACTATCACACAAAGGCAACGTGTGGAAACACGATGCACTAACGGCCAGAAAATGTGCATGTCCGTAGAAGAAAGAAACCTATATGTCCGACTGACCGTTCTATTCTGTTTTCAAAAGTTAACAAAAGCTTCAAAGAGATTTTCGGGCACCGCGCTGTTGCGCACGGACTTCCGAATTTTCGGCATTTACAGTTTTGCTTTTTAGGTTTTTGGCAGACATTGTCAAGTTTTCGAAATTTTTCCTATTCTTCAAGTTCATAAAGTTTTCAGTTAGGCTTCCGTTGCCTAGAGAGCAAACCACAGAAAACACCCGCCCGCAGTTATTTATTTGGGAGCAATTTATACCCAATAAGCTTAACAAATATTACAAAAAATTGACATTTTATTTTTTTAGAAAGTTGACGAATTTTAGTGATAATAAATTGATATATTTTACGAATGATCTGACAGCATCCAACGAAAATAAGTAGAAAAAAAATCGGTGAGCCTTTCTTCGCATACGCTCCATGACCAGTTAGTTTTTCTCCGGGGAGCTTTTTTCCGGGATGCGACACCGAGAATAGGCACCGAAAAATATCCAACCTCTGGTAAAAAATAAACCCCGATCAAACAGCCCTAATCTTAGACGATGAAATAAGCCCAGAAAATGTCGGAACCCTTTGTATAGATAAACGAGCTTGCCAACCGGAACTGGGGGCAGTTCGCATTCTGTTCTGTTCTGTTTTCTGAAGAGCCGAGCTTCTGTGCATAAGCCGAATATGACATATGCTTGTGCATGTGCCATGCACATGCGCGCACCTGATGCGGACAAATGCGTTTTTGAACAGGGTTGTATTCACTGGACACCATATTTGAGGACGATGTTTGGAGCGCATGCTCAGTACGAGCTCACAAATAATAGGCTGCTAAGACCGGCAATTCTGATGGTATGGAGCGCACGTTGCAAAATAACTTTGGAGGGTCGCCATCAGCACGCGCTCAGCAATCGCGCACACAGCTATGGCCGCCAGAGAATACTTCCCTATTGGCGAAGTGCGCGACCGAAAGCGTCGCTGTGGTCGGCTTTCCACGATTGGCCGAACGCTGACTATGACGTCAGAAAAGGATTTCTCATGGACAGAAATAAGAGGAATGAAAGAACTTTAATTTTGACGGTGTTGGCAGTGTTCCTTTGAGAGCGCAATGATTTCAAGCTTCCACCATGCTATTTACAAACACCATCGAACTTGTTGTTTGCAAGGTAATGACATCACAAGGGGGAACCGTAGGAGGGCGCCACTAAAACATCTCGCGCTAATATATAGCTTGCACTGACGTCCCATCAGCCGCCATTGTGATGGCCTTGCTGCCAACGAGGTTATAAATACTAGGAGTATGGTGCCTGGATCGCGTCTTTGACTGGTGTGTTTAGCGTCCTATGCCGCCCATACATCAAAAGTGGTCCCGATGTGGCAACAAATGACGCGAGTGTCATGCTGTTGCCTGTCGCGATCCTGGCGGTTGGCCGTAGAAATGCTGGCGAAAAGCACGAACGAACGCGAGTGTCGCTGTCGTCACGGCGTCCCTTTAGACGTCCCAAATCCGGCTGCTAGAGCTACCGTGAACTGTCACAGTGGAAAGCGACCTGCAGCAGAACAGGCATCTGCTACATACACCACAGCTGTTGGGACGCCGCCAGGGTCGCGACCGGCGACAGCATGACACTTTTTTGACGTCATCAGGCGGAAATCGAGGGACCACTTTTTTGGCCGCGGTAAACACACCAGTCGGAGACGCGTTCCAGGCACCATACTAGGAGTGGGCACGTTGCAATATTTGTGAAGCCTAGTTATAAAAAAGTTTAAACGATTTTGTGGCCCACGTGACCATAGATTTCTCTGGCAACTGGTGCGCGTGACACGTCACGTGCGAGATGGATAGTTGATTGTAGAAGGATTCCTTGCAGGGTTGCGCGCGCTCCGTCCGGTAGGTTTTAGCAGATCGAAGGCAAGACGTAAGTAAGCGAGGAAGTAAGCGGTTGAGGCGGATCACGAGCAGACGACACACCGCTGCTGGTACACGGGACGATCAGGGCAATTGCCGCAATCGCAACGGAGAAAACGAAAGCCTGGCGTCGCCGGGACGCTAATTTACCCCGGCTCTGGGATGGGCGCTTGCAGCGTGGTTG